AAAAGGTTGAATTGTTTGGACAACACTGGCTTACAGAAATGCAAACCATAGGAGAAACACACACGGAAATGCATGCAGTTGTTGGTGCTTTTTTTTCCAAAAAGGCATTTTTCAAAAGAGGCCGGAATAATAAAATAACCCCGCAATATCCACGAATGGGTAACAGACCTTGATTTCAGGGAACCAGTGGTCCGAGCTGGACCTGGCTGGTGCCTGGAGGGAGGTCACCGGGAAAGGCTGGGCTGCGTGTCATTGCCCAGAACAAGGCAGGGATGTGTCCGTGACGTCACCAGCAGCCGAGCCTGATTCAAAGGAGGTTTTATTTTATTATCATTTTATTACTTCCTCCAAGAGCTCAGCTCAGTGGCCGTGCTCAGCTGACCTCACGGACCCAACGTGGATGGGAGACCACAGTGAAGCCCAAAGGAGCGTGCGGGTGCGATGGGCTGCGACTGATTGCATCTCTCCCCCCTGCCTCCCCCCTGCCCCCCGTGCCCCTCCTGCCTCCCTTTGCAGAGACTCCTTCATTTGCAAAACTTCAACACCCTGATGGCCGTGATCGGCGGGCTCGGCCACAGCTCCATCTCCCGCCTCAAGGAGACGCACAGCTTTGTGAGTCCGGAGACGACAAAGGTAAAGGAATGGGGCCGGGGGGACCGGTTACACCAAGAGATGCTGAGGCCCCCAGGGAAGACCAAGACCAGAGGGCCGAGGACTGGCCGTGGGTTTCAGAAGGGGTGGCTGGGTGAGGCACCGAGAGGACCGGCCCTCTGGCCCCTTCCTTCTCCCTGCAAGGCGCAGAGGCAGCTCCTGTTTTCTTGCTCTGGAGGGCGAGAGGAAAAAGCCCTCGTGCAGAGCTGGGGGAACCCTTGACTGAGGGAGGGGCTGGCGGCATTCGAGTGGAAGTGAGGGAGCCACCAGCCAGACTCGCGCATTGACTAGATGCCCTCAAGGGTCCCTTCCAGCTCACCTCTGATGTAGCCATGAATGCCGGCCGGGAGGAATGGTTGGGTCAGTTTGGTGGTGGGCTCCTTACCGAACTGGGCAGCTCACAACAGTTAAAAAACAACAATCTGGTTTTTTAAAAAAACAAGTTAAAAACCAATATACAAAGATAGGAAACCATCCATAACTGCTGTAAAATAAGCAGCAGTGAGGACAAGAAGCAGATGTTCCCTTTATGAAATGGATGGCTGCTTGTTTTATCCTCTCTGTTGGGAGAAGTCACCTAAGAGGACCTGTAGCTCCGTTTCATCCCTTGTTTCTTCCCCACGGTTTCCAATCCGGGGCCAGCTTTTCCCCCAGCCGTTCTGAGTGTTGTCCTGCGAACAGAGCCAAGTGACTAGTCCTCATGGGCTCCACAGGGCTTCAGCTTCCCCCTTGCCCGGCTCTGTTGCAGGTCTGGGAGTCGCTGCTGGAGCTGCTGTCATCGGCAGGGAATTACAGCCGCTACCGGCGGTGTTTTGCGGAGTGCGTGGGCTTCAAGTTCCCCATCCTAGGAGTCCACCTCAAGGACCTGGTGGCCGTCCACGTGGCCCTTCCCGACTGGCTCGACCGGGCGCACACCCGCCTCAATGGCAATAAGATGCAGCAGCTGTTTAGCATCCTCAGCGACCTCGCGATGGTGCAGAGCATCCGCCCCCCATTCGAGGCCAACCCTGACCTTCTCAACTTGCTCATGGTATGACCTCCTAGCCCGGCCGGTCCTGCCGTTAGCACCCTACAGCTCCTCTGTCTTGTTTCATCCTGTTGCTGTGCTCAGCTGAGGACTGGCGGGGGGTGGGGGGGCAAAAGAAAACTTACCAGCTGTTTCCAGAAGTTTGGAACTGGTGAGGCTTTGCTGGACTGATTCAACGTGGCTTCGGCCTTTAGAACGCAAAGCAGATTAGCAGATAAATGTAATTTGAAAAACACCCGCTTTTGGAGAGAAGAAGTGGAGTAGGGAGGGATCCATTGATGGTTCCCTCTTCTGACTTCAGTGTGTTTCTAGGCTGGCCTATGACCACAGTGACGATTTGATTGATTGTGTTTCTGGCAGGTCTCCCTGGATCAATATCAAACAGAAGAGGAGATCTATCAACTCTCTTTGCAACGCGAACCCCGAAACAAGTCTACGGTATGTGGAGGTGACTTGCAAACCAGGATGGGGACCTTGAGGTCACACCTGGCTGGGGAAGAGTGCTCTGGGCCATGCTCCAGCCCTGTGAGGTGGGATGTGATTTCAGAGGAGTTTCAGTGAAAAATGGAAGCTGAGTCTCTCTAGATGGATGATGTGGAGGGAGATCACGATGGGGGGGATGGAGGGATCAGGCCAATGCGAGCACCAGAAACTCTCTTTTTGGAATAATATGTATAAGCAGAAGATTGGTGGTTCACTCCCTGCATTTCCACCCCATAAAATAATCAAATATCTCAAGTAAATCTCATTTACTTTGAGTCACTTCACGATGCATCTTTTCAATTTTTGCAAACGTGGTTCCTCCTCCCTTTTTCTTCTTCTCTGCTCCAGCCTTCCAGCCCTACATCTTCTACCCCACCACCCCAGCCTGTTATGATCGAGGAGTGGGCATCGGTGCCCAAACCGAAGCCAGACCAAGAAATTGTGCGCAAACACATTGAGAAGATGGTAGAGGTAGGAAGCCAGGAACCCTCGTGTGGAGAGTGGGTGGTACGTTGGGTGGTGTCAACAGCCATACTCCATGCAGTGAGATTCCCGGAAAATATGAGTCAGTTCCACAGAATAATTGTCTACTGAATAATTCCATTTTAAATGGTTCTACACAGCTCAGCCTTCCCCAGCTTGGTACTCTCCAAATATGAAGATGACTCCCAGAATTTCACAGGTAGCACTACTACAATTTTGAGTATTCAGCCATAGGGAACCTGGGGAAATGGAAAGAAGCCATGATCCTTTAATTTTGCCCAAGAGCTACTGTAGTCCATGATGAAAGTAGCCGCCTATAACTTACAGAAAAATTGACCAAGGAGATGATTTTTAAAAAACATTTTTTTAAGTTATAAAATTCTCATAAGAAACAAGTGACATCTGTATTTGTAGTCTGCTTAAAAAAGAAGTTAATCATCCACATGGCCGGTATTTCTGTTGGCTGATGATATACTGTGTATAGACTACCATTGTATCTATTTAATAGCCCTAGAATGAAAAACAAGGGAACATTGAACTGAAGCTTTATTTGCTTCAGTAAAACACTAAAAACATTTTTAGAATAAAATATTCCAAGTTGGGTGGCTTTGTTATGAGTGTAAGAAAAAAAATCTTTTTCTACTACATTGAGGGATGATAAGGTCCTAAATCTGAAAGAAGGTGAAGAAAGGAGTTGGGGACCATCTTGTGGTGCTGAAAATCCTTTAGCTTTAATTCAGCTTTAGCTTTCCTCCTTCATCCCAAACCCTGCCTTTCTTTTAGTCTGTTTTCCGGAACTTTGACGTGGATGGAGATGGGAATATTTCCCAAGAAGAATTCCAGATTATCCGGAATAATTTCCCATATCTCTGCAAATTTGGAGACCTGGATGAGAATCAGTAAGTGCCAAAGGCTTGGCCCACTGCCTCTCCACGTTTAATCCCTTTCCTTATACATTATATTATTTGTGTGTGATTTAATTCCAGCAAACTCCTAGCTATCCTTGGCTGAGCAATGCTTGGTTTAGTCCTTGGATGGGAGACCAAGAGGAAAGCACAGGGCTGGGAGGTAGACTGGGGAGTCAAAAAAACTTTCTGGAATAAGGCAGCGGCACACTGCTTCTATATCATTGTTCAGAAAACTGCATACAAATCTTCATTAAGATAACAAGACTTGAATGGGCCTTAATTATTATTTCATGACTTACTAGAAACACATCCCAGTTTCTTGTGTCAATTCAGATATACCCAAGAAAGCTTATGTTAAAGAAAAAAATAAATCCTACAAAGAAAGGGACTTTATTACTTTAATGTTGCAATTGCTGTTATTATTACTGAAAGATGCTAGCACCCCACCAAATCAACTTGGAAATTATGCTATCTCACTTGTTCCTTCGCAGAACAGGAAAGTTTACTTGTGTTCCACTTCAGAGGTTTTCAAGTTTGCAAATGAGGACATATTTGAATGCCTGCTTCCAGGCAGCTGCACATAATAGGGAAAAACAGAACGGGATTTTGGTTTGACAGGCGTTTCCTTGGAGCCTTCCAACTCACTCTTTGCTCTGCCTTTCTCTTTATAGTTTGGATAGCATCAGCTGCCCTTCCAGCGTGAGTGCCAACTTGATCCCCACCTTTATTGCAGGACGATGATGGTTGTCCTAGTATCATGTGTTTGCCTGTCATGGCTGCTGTTTATGGCATTCAGTCATTTTTCCAAATTTGCACGACTCGTGTTGTATGCAAACCTGGCCCCTGAGGTGAATTTATGGTTGTGTGTGTCCTGCAAACCTGGAAAAGTGGGTTGCACAACATGTTGTACCACATAATGTGCAAACCTGCCACCTGTATGATGAGTTTAGGGCTCCGGGTATTGTGCAACGCAGCAAACTGGGTTAATTCCGTAAATGGGCTGCTTGGTGGTTTATTCGTGTTAAGGAGAGTTGAGCCTTCCCACCTCTCTCTTTGGGGCCCGGGTGTTGCAAAGACTGAAGGGCCCCCTTTTGATACCACCGTTTAGGGCTGCTGGGCAAGACAATGGCTGAAAGGGGGACTTTTTTCTAGTAGACACCAGTGGGTCAGGGACAGGCAGAGAGCAGGTTGTTCTGGGATGAAAGGAAGCTGAAGAGGTTGGAGGAAGGCAGGAAAGGTCTTTCATGCAGATCGATGGGCAAGGGGCCTCTTCCAGGCACAGAAAAAAGGTAAGGGGTACCTCCAGATGGGCACAGGCTGTGGAGGTACAACTTGGGGGGGGGGAGGAAGAGGAACCAGAGGCAGTTGAAACATGGAGAGGAATTGCTTCAGTACTGAGGACTAGAACCTTGAGATTGATGCACAGTTCTAAAATGGAGACACTGCCGTGGAGCTTTAAGGAGAGGGTTAATTTAAATTAAAATGAAGTTAAAAATGAGCATGGCAAAGACCTGATGCAACTTGAATGTGAAATATGATGACAGGCAGTGATATTTGGAGGGCTGCTTAGCTTGATCTAAGATTTCAGCTCTGGACCAGGATGTGTCCACAGAGAGCACCGTTGTTGCCTGACAGGCTGGAGCTTTCATTTGGCTTGTTTTACGCTCTTCAATGCCTTCCTTCAAAAAGGGAAGCTCCCTTGCAAAACACCAGCCTCCTTGTCTGTCATTTCGAAAAGTGCCTCTCTGTCTCCTGCGGTCCCAGGGGGCATTTGCAGATACTGGAAATAGGTGACTGCAATTTGACATTTCCTTTAAAAATCTGCCCCCAAATGGTGAAAATTCCCAGCAGTGATATTTTTTCCTTACTGTGTAAATGAGGCCACTGAAATATAGGAAGGGGAACACACTCTTGCACAAGCAGGCAACGAGCGTGTTTCAATTCCTGGGATCTGAAACTGCACAGACACACTTTCTTCTCTTATAATCCTAATGATAACAACAACACCAACAGCAACGTAATAATAATAACACCATCGGCATTGACAAAATCGCCATTGGTCCATTGCAAAAGGCAGCTTGACTTGGAACCATTTCCATCATGCAATGATACTTTTAACCCCATCAAACAACATCTGCCTATCCCAGGTCCTTGGGAAGGACCCGATCAGTGGATAAAAATGCTAAACCCAGTCTAAACATCTGGCTGACTGGGTGACCCACCATAGTAATATAATTTTCCCCTTTAATTTGCTTTATTGAATTCTTAACAGACATAAAGTAAATACATTATATCATTTGAGTGCAGTGGTACTCATAGGGTGCAGATTAGAGATTATTAACACTCTTATTATTTAGATAACAATCTTTCTTTAAAGAGAAAGAAAAAGAGAAAGAAAAGAAAAATGTATAAAGAAAAATAAGTTTATATTAACTCTGGCCTGTGACCGTAATAAAAATTCTATTCTATTCTATTCTATTCTATTCTATTCTATTCTATTCTATTCTATTCTATTCTATTCTATTCTATTCTATTCTATTCTATCCTATCCTATCCTATCCTATCCATGATTTCTAAAATGTTGATGGGCACAAGGTTGTTTAAATTTTATGTCCAAAGCTAAATGTGGCATTAAGAGACAACTAAAAATTACATCAACGTATTTGCTATACGATAAATACAATGTCTTAAGCTTAATACTTAATACTAAGATTTCCACTGTTTTGTTCATTATTGTTTGCGCATGTTAAAGAAAAAGAAAAAAATGGACAAACAAAATAAGCCACAACAAAAGGAAAAGAAGTTTAAAAACAAGTTGGTTTCTAACTTCCCCCTTATTGCGCCTCAGCCAATTTGCGGTGTTTACAGTGTGAGTGTTCAGGTCCCTTCGGCGCCATGCCGCAATACGGCGTCCGTATTGGCCGTGCTGCGCAATGGGTTGTATCCGTGGGAGCCATTCTTGCTTGAATAATAATGTTTTTCGTAGTCATGGTTTGATACGAGGAACCTGCCCAGTCCCTGCTCATTTTATCAGAGGCACCAAGTGGGCAGCTGAGATTCACCACTCACTGCAACTGATGAAGGGAACTCTTGTCCACCAAGAGCTGTAACAGTAGCCGGGGTGTTGCAGGGAACAACAGCAACAACTAACTCTCTTTGTTGGGTTTGCTGCCCCAGATCAATGGTTTGATGAACCGATGAACTGATTTTCTTCTGAATCAAATGAGGAGTGTTTTAAAGCCTATTTTCCTGCCTCCTGCCCCTTCCACTGTGGCGAAAGAAGCCTTGACGGGCCCTGCAGTTTTCCTGCGGGTCGGCGCAAGGGCGGGAGAAAGGCAGGAATGAATGTCGCGTCCTGTTTGCAGCCCTGGATGCCGAGGCCAAATAGTTTCTGGCAACATTGTCCGTCCCCGGGAATGAACCCAGGCGCTGAGCCTGCTCCCCCTTTGCGTTCAGCTGCAGGCCGCTCTGTTGGGAGACGAAGTGGAAACCCCTGGAGAGGCAGACTTTCTGCTCTCAAGCAGCCACAGCTCTCCTTATTTGGAGTTTTTCGCCTCCGGCTCGGCTACCGCGCCCTGCCATTCTCTCGGCCGGTCTTTGTGGTTTCCGGGAGCAAGGCTCCCCGGCTCGCGAGCGTGTGGGAAAAGGGGAAAGTAAATAGGTGGGGTTTTGTCAACCGCTGTTCCCACCTGTACGGCCACCGGGACACCAGATCCCCCCTTTTTCTCAGCTGGCAACTTGTAACGAGGGGGGACGGGGCCCACGTTTCTTCCAAGCTGTGATGGGGTGGGGGTGGGGGGTGTTTGAAGCAAAGGGCCCCGTGGCGAAAAATCGCTGGAGTGGCCTTCTTTCTCATTCTGCAAAATCCAGCTGGCCCTTTCAGGAAAGTCTCCATCTCAGGACAAACTTCTGCACTAGTTTTCCAAAAGTCAGGCAGACTTTAGAGCTCTGCAGAACTCTTCATCAGGCCAAAAAGGACTTTTTCTCTCCCTGCCCTTCCTTTCACCTTCTGAAGCATATTTTTGAGGAGGCACGCCTTGTTTTTTTGCCCCTGCGGTTTCTGCAAGAACAGAATAATCTTGGGTTTTTTTTAGTACTGCTTGCAAACTACCCAAAATGATAAAAACAGGAAAGGAACCAAAAAAACCCACCCCACATGGGATCGTGAGGAAGGATAGCGATAGAAGGGTGCATGGAAGGTCTGTCACGTCCATCATACGTTAGTAGCATACTGCAGTGATGGGACGAAATGATCAGTTGCAGGAAGCAGGTGCGGATAACCCTCTTTTGGCTGGAGTTGTAACGGCCCAGTGGTTGAACATCTGCTTTGTGGGGAGGAGATACCATATTCTCCACATTTCTTATTTAAAAAGTGTCAAATAATAGAGGATGGAAAATACAATTCTTGGCCTGAGAAGTGCAACCAGTGTCGGGCTAGAACAGTGTTTCTCAACCTCTTTAAGCCACTTTAAGATGTGTGGACTTCAACTCCCAGAATTCCCCAGCCAGCAATGGGGGATGAAAGACCCGGTGCACACAACGTACCAACTATCAATGATTCAACAGGTTTGCGCAACAGACAGAGCTGCTGGAAAACAAACCAAGATTATTATGGTAGCATTTGGGGCAAAGGCAACTGCTAAGTCTTTTGTTGACCTGGAAAAGTGGGTTGTGTGAAGAGGCAGAGTCTTGCTTTCTGTGGGATACGTTTTTGGAATTTTATTCCGGTGTGGCACATCTACAATCAGGTTGCTTCAAAGTGAGGGCCATGCAGCTTCATTTCTCCTCGCGTGGCTAACTGGGTTTTAAAAATGCATGCTTTTAATGAGTAATGACTAAACCAAGTCTTGGAAGGGCTGGATTTTCAATGGCTGCCTTTCAAACGGTTGTCATATCCTGGGGCAATCTTTGCCAGCATGGTTTCCTCACCGGCCTGCAACGCCCAGCATTTGACCGTGGTTGGGAATCATGGGTGTTGTAGTCCAACCCAGCCAGCGGCCCCTGTTTGGGAAAGAGCGCCTGAGTTTCCCCAAATGAACTACCCCCTGTTAATGGAGTTCCCTGTCGAACAGAGACGGTTGCATCAGTCGAGAAGAAATGGTTTCCTACTTCATGAAGTCCAGCATGGAGCTGAACGGGAAAATGGGCTTCGTCCACTGCTTCAACGAGACCACGTTCCTGCGCCCCGTGGCTTGCCGTCACTGCAAGGGCCTGGTGAGCTGATTTCCCTATTCCTGTGGATCGCAATAGTGCCTTGGGTCTGCTGGACTGGAGCACCAAAGCCCATCAGTTTAGGCTTTCGACTGGGGTTGGACTAGATCCGTGTTGTTCGAACTGGGCAACTTTAAGATGGGTGGACTTCAACTCCCAGAATCCCCCAGCCAGCCATGCTGGCTGGGGAATTC